CTGCAATCCCTTTCTCCTCCATTCTCCTCTTGGGATCTTGGGCATACACACACACACACACCTAGCATGAGTTTAAGCCACTGGGTTTAGGACTCGAACCACGGTCGACTACGTGGGAATCCAGCTACATAGCCATTGTGCCAACTGCTGGTCCCCAATCTGGTAGTTTCTTAAAAACTTAAATGTAAAGCTATCACATGAACTATTTCTAGATACCTACTCCCCCCCAAATGAAAATATATATATCCACACAAATGCTTGTATACAAATGTTCATGGCAGGATTACTGACAATAGCCCAAAATTGGAAGCAACCCAACAACCAACCAGTGAATAGATAAATAGAATATGGCATATGATAGAATAGTATTCAAAATAAAAAGAAATACTGATACATGTCCAAAATACAGATGAATCTGAAAAATATAATATTAAATGAAAGAAGCCCATCACAAAAGAACATATATATTGTATGGTTCCACTTATACTAAGTGTCCAGAAAAGGCAAATGTTCAGATATATAAGGAAATTAGCAGTTGTCCGGATTTGGGTAGGAGATGAAAACTGGTAGGAATGGGAATTAATAGTAAATGAGCCCAAGGGATCTTACTGAGGGGATGGAATATTGTAGAATTAGGTCACAGTGATTTTTGCATAATCAATACATTTACTAAAAATCATTAAACTATATACTCTCAATGAGTATACTTTTGGGTATGTAAACTATACCTCAAAAGAGCTGTCAATAAAACAGAAGAGAGGCGAGACAATAGCACAGTGTTAAAACACAATGTTCTGCAAGGGATCCCACAGGGGAAGGTTCCCAGTTCAAGTCTGGAGACCTCCCTGAGAATGCTGGTCACACACTTGCCCATGATCTAGGTCTCACTAACAGCCAAGGGTGGACTGCAGCATCAAGACCCACTTGGGAGTGCTATTTCTGTAGCTCTTTCTCTCTGTCTCTCTTACTCATGGAAATAAGAAATAAACAAAATTTTAAAATAAATAAATAAAAATAAATTGGAGGGAACTGGAGATGGTGTAATGGTTACATCACCGGACTCCCACAGAATCGACTACAGTTTGAGTCCCAGACCCAGTGGCTTAAAACTCACTACAGGTGTATGTGCATGCATGCTCAAGATCCTAGAAGAATGGAGAAGGGACTATGGCATAGCTATCCCCTCTGTGGGATGATTTCTTGCTTTCTGTCTCTCCAAGGAGCACTCGTGCCCTAAAGCACAAATCTCTCAAAAAAAAAAAAAAAAAAAAAAAAAGGAAAAGAAAGTCAACAAAGTACTTGACAATTTTCTGCTAATGTAAAAACAATCTGTGTTAGGAGTAGTATATTAAAATTAATTTTTTTTAAGAGAGATTTTTGCTATAGGGTATGTGTTCTCACCAGAGACACAGAAAGAGACAGAGAGACAGGAAGCAATAAATCACCCTTTGAGGGGATGGCCACACCATGATCCCTTCTCATTCAGTCTCCTCTCAGGATTATGGCCACACATGCACATGCACCCGGTGTGACCAAGACTTGAACCGTGGTTGACTACATGGGAGTCCAGCAACATAACCATTATGCCATCTGCTAGTCCCCAAATTAATCTATTTTTAGAAGCATATTCTTCATTATAGTAACATATATTTTAAAATAATTATTTAATTTTATGTATTATTATTATTTTATTTTCTGTAGGGCACATGCACTCATGAGAGAGAGAGGGAAAAAGTGAGAAAGCAAGTCTCTAGGTCTGGGACTCAAATTGTGGCTGGCCGCATGGGAGTCCAGTACCTGTTACCTGTTGGCCCCAGCAAATTTTTTTTTAAGTTTTTTATTTTTGCTATGGGGCTTGTGT